CCTAATATGCAAATAGACCGAACAGTGGAACAATTGAACAACCAGTCACTATGACATGCGCTGACCACCAGGGGGCACGCACAGGACATGGTGAGAAGACGGCAGAGCGTGGAACATGGCTGGCATCGGCCACGGTGGGATGGTGGAGCAGGTGAGTGAGGGCACTAGACCAAGGCGGGGCGCCGGTCACTGTCATCGGGGAGAGCCTCTGGTGGTTACTGAAAATTCTTTGCTCCTGCGCCGTGGTCCCGCCCGGCGCTTGCACCTGTTGCTGGCACCGGCCCCGATCGCCCCTGAGGGCTTCTTCACCTTCCCCTGCTTCTGAGGGGTGATTGGGGCAGCAAGCTGCCACCTCACCCGCTGACAGTGCCAGCCCCATTCACACCTGCTGCTGACACCAGCCCCAATCGCTCTGTGCTGTCAGCGGTGCGAGCAGGGCCGGCACCATCAGCATGTGGGAACGGTGAAGGCAGGAGGGGGGCTGCTGGCAGACAGGGGCCGGGAGGGGCCGGGCAGGGGCATGGATGATGGGCCGAGACCTGCCCCTGTGCCCACCACAGCCTTGAGGCTCACAGTTCCTTTCAAGGTGCATGAATTTGTGCACTTGGGCCCCTAGTAAAAAATAAAAAAAGTAAAGAAACAACATTGACAGCATGCCCCCACCATGTCCCTTTCCAGTCTATAAAGGTAACAGCTTCCTAACTTTTAAAAGTATCTATTAGGTTTACTTGCGCATTAAAACATTTCTTTTGTAGGTTTACAAGTCATTACTGTTTCTGCTGAACATTGTGTTTATGAGATGCATCCATACTGTGTGCAGTTGGAGATCTTTCCTTTCACGGTATGAAGACCCCTCACATATTACATTTCATTCCTCTGGGAGTGGGCACTGGCTGGTGTGCGATACGGGGCTGTTACAAATAGTGCTGCTACAGACACACGGCTTTTGGTGACGTGAGCACTATTTGAATGTGAACGCATTGGGCCTTTTGGATGACAGAATAAGAAATGTTGGCTCTGATGACGTTCCCATCTGAAGACGTTGGCTGAAAAAAGTAGAATGAAGAGGTAAACGTAAAGCCCACCCACCGACTTAGTGTCAAGGATTCCTTGAGTTAAGTCCCGGTGCCCACTCCACACCCACAGGCAGGGATGGAGGCATTTGAAATTCACGGAAATGATGAGTCAGGAAACTTTCAAAGAGCATTTTTGGGGAGCAGCTTACATCGGGAGGCTGAAAACAGTATTACTATTGCAATGTCTCCGTGCCAAGGTTGGTTTGGTCCCTACAGAAGCTCAGGAGACGTACTGTGCAGCTGTGGCCCTGCTGTGATTGGACAATTTACAAGTCCTTCGTCGGAAGACCAGCCCACAACGGTACAGGCTCCTTTGCGAGGAGGCGGCATCCGGGTCTGCTGTGGTGTTGGTGGCGGGCTCTCTGCTGAAGAAGATCAGCTGACAGTGGTCGCCCATGCCCAGGTGTCCTGAGAACCGGCCACCACTTCCACAGTCACGCAGGCCTTCGCGGTGCAGCTTTCTGTGCTGCTGAAAACAGTGAGTCAGGGGACAGCATGGAGCCTACAGACTAGTAGACACCCCCAGATTTCAGCTTCATGTTTCCAGAAGACGAGTCAAGCTGTGTGTACACATCATTCAAAGATTCTACTCTTTCATTTCTTTTTCATCCATCGGCTGTGGGTGAAGAGAGGCCCGGGACCCAGCATGCCTTCTCTGGACTGGGCTTATTCTGGAAAATTCTACTTTATGCCTCTTCAAATATGCATCTTTCAACAAAACACTGAATTCCATGGGACCGTCATGTGCTGGGCAGGTACTCGCTGGAGCCCAGACATGGAGAGGGGGCTGGGTTTGCCCTTAGTGTGCGGCAGTGTGGACGTTACAGTCGCGTAAGCAGAGGGAGGGATTTTATTTGAAACATTCATCCCCCGCCCCCCCCGAGAAATGATGTGTTCACTAAACACAAATACATAAGAAGGGGCTGGGTTTGCCCTTAGTGTGCGGCAGTGTGGATGTTACAGTCGCGTAAGCAGAGGGAGCGATTTTATTTGAAACATTCAGGCCCCCTGCCCCCGCCCCCGAGAAATGATGTGTTCACTAAACACAAATACATTTTGAAATGGATCTGACATACCTAGCATTGCTAGAATTTGGTGGTCCACACCCCTCTCCCCCTCAACCACAGACTATGTGTCTAACAACCTGTGGCCTCAATAAAATGTTACTTTAAAATATTAGATAAGTTTATACAATATTGTAACTGAGCACATTAGGGAACATGCAGTACCCTGCTGCCTCAAACCAGATTGCACGCTTAGCACTGTTTATTTTTAGAAGCAAAAGTGCCTGGCAATTTAAGCACAAGCATTCAAACATTTGTTCCACTTAACTGAGATAAGGTGTCATTCCATTCGACTGTTCTCCTTTTATCATTTGATTAGCCTTGCAAACTGATTTACTATAGGGAGAAATTAGAAAATTCAGAAGAAAAAATATTTTTAAAAAATAACACAACATTTATTTTTGAACTCATGTCTTTTCGATGAAAATTAAAAAGAAAGGATGGGATAGTTACACGTACTATCCATTTGTGTGTGTCAGTGAAGGGAAAACATTCTGGACTCTTCTGTCACCAGACCTGTGTGGGCAACACATTTACATCCTTCAGCTTCTCTCCCTCTTAGTGCTCATGCGCGCCCTCTCTCGTTGTTATACTTATTAAACTCACGGCCAGGAAAGCCGGAGACGTTCATTTAAACTAGAGTGTCAATGACTGATACCTTCAGTAAGCATGGTCTCACTTCCAGATGCCGGAATTAGAGGGGGTTTGGAGCAGGATGAGCTGGTGAGTGGAAGTCTCCCCGGGACTGCAGCCTTCCAAAGCCCACCCCAGAGACGCTCATTGTGGATGTAAGGGCCCGGCTCGCCTGCCCTGGCAGCCACTGGCTAGCGTGCGGACACCTTGCCTGGGCGCCTGGTGGCAGGTGCTCAGAGAATCTCACCAGGACATGCCCTGCAAGGCTGGGAGCAGCTTCCGCTTCCCAAACATTTTCCAAAGCCTCGGGTTCCGGGAAGGGGTGTTGAGAGTGCCAGCTGCCGTTCTGTGCTTCCTGCTTCTCCGTGAGTTCCAGGCAGGCTGCTGTGTATCTGCCCGTGACCACCACCACCACGCAGAGGGCGAAAGAGCCCCAGGCCCCTAGGCGAGGCTGTCAACAAAAGGCTCCCTGAGGAAAGGGCGGGGCTGCGATCCAGGGCTTCCTGCTGGGGTCAGCCCGGTGAAGAGCCGGCTCCCAGCTCTGCCCAATTTGCAGCTGGGTTTCAGATCCAGACTCTCAGAGCCCAGCCAATGTGTCATTTTGATGATGGCTACGAGTGAATTCTGGAGTCACAGTGCTGAGTGGCACTGGGGTTTGCACCATCCCTTCCTAACTGCAGCCTGGAGCTGGAGACTTCGCCTCTCTGCGTCAGCTTCCTCGATGCCGCACTGGGGCAGCCGGCCTCCGTGGTGGGTGGGTGGGACTCAGCGAGCTAACGTGGGAGTATCAGCATCGCATCTGCTCCACGGGTCACTTTTGGTTACTGTGGTTGGCTCTGCCCCAGGACACGGGCCTTGGGCTCTGCTGTGTTTCTATGCCTATTGTCGGGAAGCCTAGTGCCTCCTGACACGATGGTGCACACTTGCCGTCTCTCACAGCCCCGCAGAGTAGTCGCGGAGAGACGACAGTCTCTAAAACCTGACATTTGTGTATGTTTCCGTGGGCTTGAATTCTCAGGCAAAACTGACGGCTTTAGACACAATCACCTACCAACACGCCCACGACCCCTCTCAGAGCTTCCAGGCTTCTTATTTATTTATTTATTTATTTATTTATTTAAATATATTTTTAATGATTTCAGAGAGGAAGGGACAGGGAGAAAGAGATGGAAACATCAATGATGAGAGAGAAGCATTGATTGGCACAACTCCTACTGGGGATCAAGCCCGCAACCCAGGCATGTGCCCTGACCGGGAATCGAACCAGTTGTTGGATTGGTTGTTGCGTCGACGCTCAACCCCTGAGCCACGCCTGGCTGGGCTCCAGTCATATTTAAACATGACTTGCCAATCAGGAAGCTTGTGAGTAACTAACACAGGCATGCTCACCAATCCCTGGCGGGCTATTTATTTTACAAAGAGGAAAGGAACCCAGGAGTTACGCAGGATGAAAGGTAGGCACATGTATTTGTAAGATGAGGCTATAGTCCGGGGTCCACATCAGAGGGAACCCTGTGGTCTAGGGCAGCATGACCGAGTCTTTCTGGTAGAGGAAAGTTTTATGGCATGGCCTTGTCTTCCATGAGAAACAGCGGCTGGGTCTCCCCCCTTTGAAGTATTTATTAGGAGCTGTAGCTCAGGGCTTTCCCCCTGAGCTGCGTGGAAGAATGGAATGACAATGACTTCATTTCTTGAGGATTTTACTCTGTGCCAAGCATTTTAGAAACATAATCTCTTTGAAACTATGATAACATTTTTTGTTTGTTCCTTTTGTTAATCCTCACCTGAGGATATTTTTCCCATTGATTTTTAAGACATTTTTAAAATATATTTTATTGATTTTTTACAGAGAGGAAGGGAGAGGGATAGAGAGTTAGAAACATCGATGAGAGAGAAACATCGATCAGCTGCCTCTCGCACACCTCGTACTGGGTATGTGCCCGCAACCAAAGTACATTCCCTTGACTGGAATCGAACCTGGGACCTTTCAGTCCACAGGCCGACGCTCTATCCACTGAGCCCAAACCGGTTAGGGCTCCCATTAATTTTTAGAGTGAATGGACGGGAGAGAGACAGAGAGAAAGAGGGCGGGGGGAGAAACATAGATGTGAGAGGGACACATCCATTGGTTGCCTCCTGCTCTCACCCTGACAGGGAACCAAACCTGCAAGCCAGGTTCGTGCCCCTGACTGGGAATCGAATCTGCGGCCCTTCTGTGCGTGGCTGACGCTCTAACCATTGAGCACACTAGCCGGGTCTAAATCTATGAAAACATTTGAGACAGCCCTCCTCTCTTTACAGGGTCCTGTCATTTTTAATGTGAATTGTTTGCTTACACTTAAAAACTAGGATACTTTACACAAAAATCAAACGTTCTGATTGCGCTGGACGCACATGGCAGTTATCAGGGGGGCCGAGGCCAGTTGCCAATGTGATTTTCCTTCCTGTGTGAGTGACTTGGTCTTCGTGCCTGGAGACCCAGAGGGGTTTTTCCTTTAGTGGTTTTAGTAGGATGTGTCTAGGACTTGCAGGTACTGTGCCAATTTTCCCAGGTTTTGGGGGGAGCTTTGTATAGAGAGTTTTGGTATTTTGCTCAAGAAAGTTTCCTTGAATTTTAAATATCAGTTGTTTCATTGTTTTGTCTTTCTTTTTCACAAACTCTAATTACAAATATGCTTTAACTTAACAACTATATGGTGGGCAGTGGCCGCTGGGGGTGACTTTGGTAGTCCAAATAGAAATTAGTCTTAACTGGCGGTGGCAATTATTTATATACTATATTAATGGAAATGGCTAAAGTCCTTAGGATGTACCTGAACTTATAAGCATTCTAGCAGACATCTCATTCACACAGTTGAAACTAAGAGAGACATCCAGAAGGAGGCCTACTCATGACCTTGACGGACGTTGGGGGATGCCAGGACCTGGGGAGGAGCCTCCAAGAGTCCACGGCCTGGCTCTTTGCTATGAAAATCCAGACATTGGATTTTACCATCCTCTTCACAGAAGATAAGACTCGGGAGAGATGTTTTACACTCACCAAGCACAGCAGGGACCCACCCCTGACTGATGCCTCTCTGAGGGCTACAGTGAGGAGGCATCCCCTGTCCACCGAAACGCACATATAGAACGAGCTACAAATAAATTTGTTGATTTAAACTACTGGGCTTTGGGAGTTATTTGTTACTGCAGCAGAACCGAGCCCATCTGGACTGATACTGCCAGCCTTAGGCCAGTCTTTCTCAGCTGCCCAAACAGCATCCATTATGACATCAGTCTCAAATAATTTGCTTCTGGTTAGAGGGAAAGGAACAAAGTTAGTAATGATTTTTTTTTAATGAATCTGGACAGATTCAGAACTATCTCCGTTACTAAGTGACCCAGTTACTTGCCTTCCATCAGGCTTTCTAGAGAATGAAAGGAAAGGGAGGATTGATTGTGCATGTACCAGGTACCCGGCAGAAGCCACCACCGGACTTATTCTGTGTGCCTGGGAGGTGTGCTGCACACACTGCTTGGCAAAGCGTGCGTTTCTGCCTTAGCTGTGTAGCTCCTTTGAAAGAGCTCAATCCATGAATGTCCACTTGGTGTAGGGATCTTGCCAAATTCTGATTTGGGGTGAGTGACAGATGGACAATTGAGACCACAGCCAATCACCTTGTGGGGTCCTGCCCAGGTGGGTACCCACTTTCTCCCCATTCATACTTCAGCCCCAAATTGAATCACAGGTTGGAGTGGGACGAGCCTGGGAAATTGCCTGGTTGTTCCCTCCACAGGCAGAGGCAGTTTCAGCATTAGAACTGAGGTCTGCGGAGGCCCAGCCCAACTCTGTTCCCCCACATCTCAGACCCCCTACATCACTGACCCACAGCAATCCAGCAGCAGTAGGGAAGGTGCCAGGATGCAAAAATGCCCGAGACACAGGGAGCTGCTCCAATCTGGGCTGGGAGCAGCTAAAATGGATCTAGATGCAAAAGCTAAGGGGCATAGGTCATCCACTCTTCAGAGGCACGGCTTTCCTATCTCTAAAATAGTCCAATAGTCCCCAGATTAGCCTTGCTTTGTGCATTCACTGAGATAATGGATAGGAAAACTTCTCTCACAGTTAATATGCACTTAAGCCTTATTGGAATGAACCGAGTCCTGTTGGGCAGGGCTGGCATCCTCGTTTCATGGTGCTTTGTTTTATAGTGCTCTGCAGATATTGGGATTTTTCCAGACTGAAGGCAAGACCCTCTACCACCAAAAAGATGACAACTCGCTGAAGGCTCAGATGATGCATAGCATTATTTAGCAACCAAGTGTTTTTAACTAGTGTGTACATTGTTTTTTAAGACTTAATGCTATTGCCCATGTAATAGACTACGGCAAGCATGCCAAACTCAAAGGCTAACATACCAAATAAACAAGGCATGCGGCCCGCGGGCCGGGAGTTTGACATGCTTGGACTACGGCATAGGGTAAACATAACTTTTACCATGCCCTGGGAAACCAAACAAAAAAAGGCATGTGATTCGCTTTATTTCGATATTTGCTTTATGAGGTGGTCTCCTAATGGTCGTCAACCTTAAGGTTTGCCAGCTCCTCCTCCCACAACGGGCCCTATTCCTCGCACTCCTGCGCTGCCCCCTGCTGGGCGGTAGGAGGAAGAGGGACTCGCCTGGGTTATGATGCCGCCTTTGGTTGGGCTGCCTGGCTGCTATGCTTTCTGACTTACATGTTCAGCAGGAACTCATCTGTCACAGAGCTGTCCACAACGAATGGCCGGAGGAGGGTGTGTGCACCGCCGGGGGCTGAGGGCCGGAGTCAGGGACCCAGCTGCTAATCCTCAGCTGCAGGGGCCTCACAGCTGTTTATTTAACTTTGGGTTGATGTCATCGGACATTTTCCCGGTGGATTCTCTGATTTTACCGCAGTGGCGGTACTATGATCACAGCAGCCAAAAATTGTCCTTGCCCCTGAGTGCCACCAGAGAGGTCCCCACAGCACCGGGAAAATCCCAGAGCCCACAGGACACGTGGGGCTGAGGCCGCCCTTGTTCCACGTCATCTCATCCGATCCTCATTACAACCCGGTGAGTCAGGCCGGAAGTGAGAGCAACGGGTGGACACGGGGATGGAATGTGGCAGCTACAGCCCAAGGCCTGGCTCTTACGCCTGGTTCTGCCACACTCAGTGATCATGGTCCTCTGTGAGCCTCACTTTCTTCATCTGCAAAATGGGTAGAAGAAAGTCCTCCAACGGGAGAGTATTTTGTGAACAGCCTTACACTTGTTTTTGTGTCTAATTACTGATAGGAGAGGCACGTACAAACGTCCATGGACTGCAGACCTGATGGGCAGGCTCAAACAGGTTGGGGGGCGCCAGGAATGGAAACTGGGTTTTCTCACCTGAGACCCCAGTGCCTTTTCTTCATCACCACCTGCTGTCTTTCCACGCAGT